GCCTTCCAAGCGTGTAAGAGAAACTCTGGTGGCTGCAAAACTCAAGACAAATGCTAAAGGCCTTATCTAGACTTATCTATCAGTGTTTGGTTTGTCTGTTGTGGGCTACTGTAAAAACATGGCTGTTCATCATGGAGGCCTCCGTAGAAGAGGACCCCCTCTGTAGATAAAACCATCTAATTCTAATGAAAACACAACAATTCTTGTTTTCAAGTGATTATACACAAATGAAAACATACCTATGAATATTATTTCCCATTTATGCCATTAGATCGTCGGAAATGTTGCACACTGGACCTTTAAGCCCAGATAAAATGGCTTTTAGCACCAATTCCTGTTCCGGATAAAAGTGTGAGATCTGTGAGCTGCAGCGTGTTCTTGTAAAATTATGAGTTCTACAGTGTGTCTCGATTTAGCTCTGAAACATGCTCATCTCTCTTTCTCCTCTCTTCATATGTATATTTAATGACAGCCAGATATATCTTGTCCCTTGGGTGACTTTGAAACATTTAATAAAGTACATGGCACTATGTTAAATCTGATTATGTTACCAAAGTCTACATCCTCCTAAATACATTTAAGATAATCTGAAAACTGTTTGCTTTGATTCCTCTCATCTCAAATTTAGAGGTAAATGAATCCTTTCAGGGGACGAAATTATCATTTGAATGTATATCCGAAAGGAAATCAAAGCCAGCCACACTGCCTGTTTAAGGAAAATCACTCATATTAATTAATATTAGAAACTCTGCTGATGAATAATGAGTCAGAGAGCAAGAAGTACGTATATTTGATAAACTAAATGACAATAAGGAAGTGTGGGGAAATCTTGAATTTTAACTTATTTTAATTGCTTTGTTTTGCTGTACTGTCTCTCTACCTTGTGAAAGTGAAAAGATAAGAGTTAAAAATATCCACTGGTGGTGTCTCTTTTTTTTTTTTACCACAAAACTCTTCATTAGCAATGTAAGAACATACTAGAGCTGCAACCATAAACATCAGAGTTGGTGGTAATAAATGTATACCATGGGAATTGTTTATGCGTCTGCACACTCAACTTCAGATTTCACATTCTCTCTGATGATGTTGAGTGATGAAACTACTAAGTGTTGCTGCTCGTTCATTGTAGTTCTCGCGGAGCTGCGTGTGTGTCTAGCAAAGACAGCACAGAGGACAGGGCCGAGGGATTGAGACAGACGAGGAGAAGCAGCACCTCTTAGGAAATAATTATCTCTCTCATCCCCCCGCAGCCTCCTGTGGGAGATCTAGCCGTGATGACTGCCAGTTTGCTGCACGGCTGTCTCTAAACCAAAGACTTTGTTTTTCCCTCTGTGAGCGGAGTTGTTGACAAAGCTTCTGACTATTTACAGCAACATTTTCTCCGACTCTCTCATACCCAGAGTTACATGGGAAATATGTCTGGCAGTTTACCATTGGCAATATGGGATATTCTCCAGTGATAACTTACACACTGGAGAGACTGCACAAAATCATTCATTACCAAGTAATGTCTGACCCGATCAAAGGGCGTCAAAGCAACTTCTGAAGATATGAAGTGTTATATTTCGGAGTTATCTTAAAACATTGATTTACATGTATTACGTACTACCCTCCCATAAAATGAGAAATAGTTAGAACCCAAAAAATGAGAAATAGTTGGGCCCCCTGCCGTTTGCCTGCGGGCCAAAGAGAACAGTGGATGATGCTGTCAACATGGGAGTGCTCTACATCCTGCAACACTTCGACACGTCAAACAGTATGCAAAGGATCCTGTTTGTGGACTTTAACTCTTCAGCAACCATCGTCACAGAAGTCCTCCACTCCAAACTTTCCCAGTCAGAGGATCACGAACTTCCTGACAGACAGAAGGCAGCAGGTGAGGAGGAACATCACACCCACCCCCCGGACAATCAGCGCTGGCACCCTCTTCTTCTTCTTCCTCTCCCATCTGTCAAACTCCTGAAGTTTGCAGACGACGGTCATAGGCCTCATTTGGGATGGTGACGAGTCTGCATGTGGGAGGTTGAACAGCTGGCCTTCTGGTGCAATCAGAACAACCTGGAGATGAACACATTCAAAACTGCACAGGACAGTTTAAATGCTAAAAATCTTGGCTTCAGAATCAAATTTATCTGTTGTCTTATAGAATACATGAAAGTCATCTTATGATTATTCTTTTTTTCTATTGAGGTAATCTTAAATTGAATTGAAATTGAATTGAAAGCCTTAAAGTAATGGAAAGTTTTTTTAAAGTAACCCTCCCAACCCTGATCATAATATCCTGTTGTGTGTGATGTGTTATGTTCAAATCTTGTTCAAATTGTGCATGTTTGAGATGAGAGAGAAGAAAAAAGTTTGAAACAGATTTTTTTTTAAAAATATATATATATATGGCCTTTTATTGCTTTAAATCATTAGTGACAACTGAAGTGTGACAGGAAAGGGAAAAGGGATGGCACACAGAAAAAGGGCCCATGGCCTCTGCAGCAAGGACACAGCCTTGGTACATGGGGGACCAGCTCTACCGGGTGCCCCGTCAGAGTTTAAAACTGTAGTCTGAGTCAGCTTTAAGTGTTACAGTTATTGATTTCATTGGTTATGTCAATTACAGGCCATCAGCCTTCAGGAGGTATGAGGTTGACCTGAGGAAGTTCTTAGTCATTTCCATTTGTGGTTTAGAGAAATCATACAGCACATTAGGTGAAACTGTGGTATCCGATGTATTAATGCTCTTAGTCCTCCATTTCCTCCAAACGCTACTCACAAAGCCAACCAGGGGTCAGGTGAGGCTCCTGCTCCTGATGTAAGCTGCAAAACTGAAGTCAAATAGGACAGCTATGATTCAAAACAATAAGACAACTCACACAATCTTGCACACAGAGGGGGGGCTGCAGGAAGAAAGGATGACTAGGTCTCCATTGTGGTGCTTCATCTTGAGTTTGACAGGACACTCTCCATCTACTGGCGCCTGAAAGAGACATGATGACCGTGGTGACATCACTCTGCACTGCATTGTGGTCTTTTAGGGAGTGATTGCGTATTCAGAAATGATGACTGCTGAGCAAAAAAAGAAAATCAACTGATGAGGAAGGAGAACAAAGGGAGAGGGAAACGACAGATATCTGGACAGACGGTGATGGTGTGATAAGGTTGAGTTCAGCTATATAGACTTATTCACAGCATATGGTAAATGTCAGAATTAAATTGGAGAGCTAAATTACATTACAAAAAGCCCTAAAGTTTCTTATCTTAGCAGATGAAGTTTTGCAGACATTTGTGACCAGAGCTTGATGGATGATAAATAAGGTTTTGAAAGAGCCGAAAGAGGGAAAACGTCAGTGAAAAGCCAACGGAAACAAAATGTATCATGCAGGCAACTTTTTATGTGTCATATTCCCGAATTCATTCATGTTTGGTTCGTGTTTTGTAAAGGGACTGTTTCTGAGAAATTCAAGGAGACGATGAGCGTTTCTTTCACTATCCTTTCGTTTCCGTGGGAACGCAGACAATGACGAGAAATCCTTGCCGACCTGATTGGCACTGTTGAGTACCTCTCCACCTCCACCTTGAAAAAAGACATTTCATCACGACATTTGACTCAAGTTGTTTCTCGATTGTTCATAGTAACTCTTCAAAGATGTATATTAAGCACCTCTTTCTGGTTAAAGGAGGAAAGTTTGAAAGACAGATATGTCCTTCATTGCATTTAATCGAAATAAGTGAAAGCACAGCAACGGTATGGAGTGATGAATTGCTTAGA